TTTGTGAAGAGATATTTTGGCCATTACGTCGTGGGAAAGGGGGCCTCTAGTCTGGACAGGGTGGAAGACGGCTCAGGCCAAATCCAAGCTGAGGCTTACCGGACGACGACAATGCAGCTTCATCAGATTTTGAAGAGGGATGGATAACGGAAGGGGGGGGGGGTAGGGTCGTGGTTGAGGAGCAAGTTGAGGTAGACGATGCGGACTGGTTCCCTCTGTCGCATAAATGCTGTCCTAATGAGAGGCTGATGAGGTATTATGAGCTGCGCGGCCGGAGTTGACCTGACCAAGATGAGTCCAAACCAAAAACAGTACATTTCACCCATAAACAGTGTCTGATGTACGGTGCGCCATGGCCTCTAGCAGAAGGCGAACCTGCAACACTGTCGTGTCGTCGCCCTGGCTAAGAAAGTTCAAGTAGAGTACTCAATACCAGCAGGTTTATAATATTTCTGGTTGAATGCTTCCTGACAGTTGTTGATGTATAACATTTCTCAAAGTGTAGGGGAAAGGGCATCTAGTCTGCTTCTCTGAAAATCCATCATTTAGCCTCCATTGACACCTATCATACTATGCACACTTTTCATACTGTGTGCAATGCTCACTTGTTGGTTCCATCAGAGTTGCCTCGGCGTGCGAAATGTATTCTAGTGTGTGCCCCTGGGGGAATCAGCCACACCTTTTTGCGTTTCGGAGAAAGGTGTGGGTCTTGGAACCGCAGTGCAGCCCATGGTAAAAGCAGTAAAAGTGTTAGTTTGTGCGGTGCCATGGTACGGTCTACCTTTTTTCTTTCATTTGTTTTTAAATTGCATGGCCTAAAAAAAAGTGTTTGATGTGTCTTGCATTTTTTCGCAATTTTAATCATTATTGCCTCGTACGGCGGATAATCTCGGGCGCCCGGGCCCCAGGCGTGTCCAGCTGCGGCGAAGCCTGGCGCGGTGGTGGCCTGAGCTTCAAGACCGCAGGGGGTGGTTGGGGTTCAGGTCAGTTTGGGGCGTGTCCGGCTTAGCCAGACACACAGGGGCCTAAACACCCTTCCCTTCCCTATCCTCCCCCCCTCTTTCTCTGCTTTCTCTCTTTCTCTCTCCACGTTCGATGGCCGTTCGCATCTTAGCCTTCTTCTGCCACTGGACCGACGCGCGCTTTACTGAATTACTGCGATTTCCTATTCTGGACTCCTCTTTTTTTTTACTCATCCCCTTTCTCCCTACTCCACTCGATTTCCTCTCAACAAGAGACGATTCCACCACGTCCCTCTCGCCCTCCCTCGCGTTCGTGTGTGTGTGTGTGCGTTTGCGGGGTGCGCTTTTCTTTCCAGTAATCAAATGAGCTCGCGCGAGTCGAATAGAGGCGCTTATCGCCGCCCCGTTATGTGCTGTCAGTGCGGCGATGGCGGAGGGAGAGAGACAGAGAGACGGAGGAGGGAGGCGGTGGGAGGGTGGCCCGGGGCGAGTGACGTCACAGAGCCGATTAGGAGAGGGAGGGAGAATTATTTCGATATCGGGTCGCTCCGGGCCGCTCAAAGAAAACCCTTGCAGGCAGCAGCTCTGGCGGCAGTGGTGGTAGTGGTGGCGGCGGCGGTGCGTATAGCCTCTAGCTGGGCTCGGGCTGCGTAGCGCTGATTAGGGTGAGGGGAGATGTAGGGGAAGGGGAGAGGGGTCTGCGTCAGATATAGCGTGCAAGCTTGCTGCTGCGAGAGCCACGAGCTCCTCCGCAGGTTGTACTGAGAAGGGTTGCGCGGGGGGCGACCAGGATCCTCGGCAGGAGAGGGAACCTGCTGGAATGAAAGGTATAGCCCGCGGGGGCGTGGCCGGGCTGGGGATCGGAAAGGAGAGAAGTTTAAATATTTGCCCGTTTTATTGGTGTTTAATTAAAAGGATGAGATCGATCGGGACCCTGGAGCGGCGGCGGCGGCGGTGGGACCTGCTGCCGCCGTTCGTCGCTATCGGTTCTCTTCCCCGCGCCTGCGTTTGGCGGCCTGTCGGTTGGCCTGGTAAATATGCAGCTTTTGATAGGGCCCGGCCGGTGTCACCGCTGTTTGCTCTTCCGCCACGGCCACGACTATCTGCGCCCCGAGCGTAACGAGCGGTGCCTCGGCCATGTCAATACCGACCCACCGCCAAGAGAGATTCCGAGGAGCGAGCGCGCGAAAAGAGGGGAGCCTTTCCGCTCGGTCAACGGAGGAGAGAGAGGGGGAGGAGAGGGGCATTGGGGAGCGACGAGGGGGGGGGGGAGACTTTTCACGGGCGTGTCAAACGGAGCCGCATCAGGGGCAGCAGGAGCCGCTCGTCCGCCTCATACTTTATTCCGTTTGATGTGAGAGCTTTCCAATCCCACGGACGGGTTTAGTAGTGAGCGCGCGTGGCGTGGGCGCAGAGTCTCTGTGTCTCGGCTGCCAAGTTGACCGGCGAATGGAACGAGATTCCTGGTAGTGCTGGTGAAAGGATCGGCGCAGCAGCGGTCAACACGCGGGCGGCGTAGCCGAGATTAGACGCGTGGGGAGAGAAAATACTATCGGGAAAGGGGTAACGCGTCAAATAATGACGAACATCATTCTTCACAACAAAAATGACAACTTTAACACATAGATCATTTCTTTTTCTTCTGTAACGTCTATTTTCAAATATTTCTCATTTGCATTTGTGCAAGAAAAACAAGTTATCACTAAGTATCAATAATGATTTTTTGTTGAGAGAACATTATGTACAGTGTGCTGCTTGCATACACGTCATCCTACATGCTCACCTTCGACACGCCGGGCGCCGAAAGGGTGCTAAGCGGCAGGGAGGGCCGAGAGGAAATATTATCCTTTTGGGCTCCCGACGGAGCGGTGGGGCGGGGCGGGGCCCCTCGGCACTCTACGTGAAATCCCGCGCCATTCTGCAAAGCCCCGGCCATCAGGCTGCATAAAACAATAAGTCTGCCCGCGCGCCCGAGCGAGATGTGTTTTTGTTTTGGTTTTATTCGCCGAGGAAGGAAGCAAGAAAACGGAGCGTTATTACTTTAGAGCGGCGGAGTGCATCGTGGCGGGGGTGTTAATGGTCGCTGCACCTTTCTCTTTAGGGCCGCGAGAAACTAAAACAATGTGCTTCTATGATCATTCGAAAATCTCTAAATTTTCGCCTATTTTCCTTTTTTTTCAGAGCGATCTTAAAAGGTGTTTGGCAGGGGATTGTGAATATAAGCAATAGTAGAGTAGACCCGTCGGGTTGCTAAGGTGTAAACACAAGGTGTTTGTATACACCGGGTGATCCGGTAGATGCGCCGGTACTGGTGGCTTTGCCTTACTCACTTTGCACGCAACACACCAGGTACATCAAAATATCTACCAAACATATTTCGCGCAAGCTTTCATGTACACATGTTCATATGGCTAAAAATAAATGTACCAAAATTATTATTTTTAAAAATTCTTAAAGAATACATTTAAAAATAAAAGAAAGGATAGGTACGCTTATAGCAGCTGGTTATTTCCGTATGTAGCCACGTGGCGCTCCTCGGCTCGCTGGAGTGACATCTCCCAGCGGAATGGAGTCGTCTCTCTCTCTCTGCCCACAATCGGGATGGCCGTAGGCAGGCAGGCAGGCACGCGCTGTCCAGCCGGCTGTCCCCACGCTGTCCGACAGCCCTCCCCCACCGCGGCGCAAACGCAATGAGATCGGACAGGCAGGTTGGCTGGCCTATCGACCGGAGCGTGATGCCCAGGCGGCCCCAGGCCTCCCGCCCGCGGCCCGCCCGCCTGCCCGCCCGCCCGGTGGCATCGAGGCTGAGCGGCGGGCTGAGCACTGACACCTGGCTGCCTGGCGCAAACCTCATTTCGAAGTCGGTTGGCTTCATTAGCATTTCGCGCCAGAAAACGTACACGGCAATCGCATCTGCTCATTTGAAACTAATGTTGCGTTTCAGTCGATTTTTGTAGGTATACAAGTGGTGATTTAAATGTGCACTGGATGAAAAGGTGCTGAGTCGCACTTTTCCAGTGGGGGTGCTACAGAAGTTTTGTGTTTGATTCATTTGTGAATGCACTAAAGAAAAATCCCTAAAGGTGCTAAGGTGCTCAAAATTGGTGCACTTGCAGTTTTAATGCCATTGTAAAGTCACTCTTAACCCTCAACACATCTTACAGTTGCGACTAAGCACTCCCTTTTTTTCTTCCAGTGTACGGCATTTTTTCCCCCTTCTGCTATAATCTCATCGATCTTCATGTGGACCGATCTACAGGAGTGTCAGTGACGATTACAAGTTGCTAACGCGCTCTGGGGGTGGGAGCCTCGCGCAAGTCGCCGCGGGTAGAGATCTGCTACGCACAGACTTACACGATGTATAGACTCTAACACTTCCACCGCCACCCTTACTAACGACAGTCTCCACTAAAGCTGCGCGGTGTGCTGTCGACACCAGAGGGTCGATGGCACGAGAGACGAGAGCCCCCTCCCTGCGGCGCGCCTGCTGTGACATTGTGCGGAGATGCCGAATTCCCATCAGAAAAGAAGGAGAACTCCTCAGAGGGGAGTGAAATCCTCGGGCCGGCCCGCGCTGCGCTGCTGCCTTGCGTCTTCCCCAACTCAATTTGCGCAGAGCCAGAGCCCGAGCCGTGCTTGGCGGCGGGCTACGCAGCGCTGCTACACCTCTGTCTGTTTGCTACGCCGTTAGTCGCTACGTTACAATGCGCTTTTGCTCCACCGCGAATAATATTCGTGGGTTAGATAGGAAGTTTTTCCATGAGCAGTATGCTGCAAAAAGCTCCGTACTAGTACGAGAACACCTGTTCTCTTTCGTCCTTAAATCCGTAAAGCACTTCATAGGACATGTGCGAAAAAGTGAAAATCACAGTTAGTGCGAAGGCTGCCGGAAATTGACAACTCCCTTTGCAAATCAAAACTTCGCAAAAAATATTTAAATTACACAAAATACTCATTGCTAATGCACAAGAAATGTTGTAAAACACCCAAGATATTTGTCTCTGTGTATTTTCTTATCATTCTTCTCTTGGCTCGCAGGTGCCGCCGTGGATGTGAGGCGGCCCCCGCTGTCCGCCGCGGCCCCCGCCGCCCCCCGCGCCCGCGCCGCCGGCGGCTCGCTTTCTCTCCCCGCGGGACACCAAACGGCGACAAAATAAAATTGCGGAGGCTATCGCTCTTCTCCTCCTCCGGGAGCGGGAACAGCGGCAACAGCAATGCGGGCGGCGGTGGCGGCGCGGCCGGCGGCCAGCTCAACGGCGTCGGGGACCCCGCCGCGCCCGCCCCGGCCATGTTCTCCAAGCTCAAGGGGGCCGGGGGCGGTGCGGCGGCCGGCCACAGCCCCCTCGACACGAACCCCATCTCGCAGTACTACGAGGTGGGCAAGCAGACGGCCTGCGCCGGCCCTGGCCTCATCTGGAAGATCTACGATGCCGTGCGCAAGTCCGACAGAAAGGTGAGTCTGCTGAAGCTTTACCCTTCAACGGTCTTTTTACACCATTACGTCAACATTTCTTGCATGATAAGAGCTAATTGATAACCGGATAGTGTCGAGTACCATAAAGTTTACGGGCTGCCAGAAAGTTAGCCCAAAATCTGCCTGAGCAAACCCGTGCGCAACGGTACCGTATTACGGGCGCTTGCTCACTATAGGCAACATGCGTACTCGCATACTTTTTCTGGCAGCTCTCATCACTCGTACCTAGTATGAGTATATCTCGAGACTTCAATTTAGTGAAAAGAGGAGAATTTCGGAATGTCTGTGTCTGTAAGTCGACATTTTCCTAGTTCGTTGCCGTAGGTTTACATTTAAAACCGCAACAGCAGACATAGACTACTATACTCTGCACTTTTATGTGCAGAGTTATTGTGCTGTTTGGTCGATCTCTATCCCTCTGTGAATGTATACGTCACATTTTACCCGATCGGTATGCTGTTTACCATTGCACTGTGGGGGCTGCAGGGGATAACCTGCAATGTCGCTCTCGACACGATCTCTTTTTGCAATAAATGTAGGGCGCGGGAGATGCACAAAGATGTATGTGGCGAACGAGCGGCCGCATTCCTGCTCGATGCAATGGCATCCATTTTGTTCCAAACTCACACACATGAGCAAACAAAGCTTCATATGTGATTCTGCGTATGTGAGGTGTTTTCCTGTTGCTGAACAGCAATGGGAGGCTGGGAGGCTGGGATAAGCGTGTGACGAAAAAAAAACAAAACAAGGCTGCTCAATAAAAAAATAAGTTGAGGGACACAACAAGCAGGGGAAGAAAATGCTGCTGTGTGATGATGGATATCGGCTGCTCTGCTTGGTGTCCGAGCACACTGTGCTTTTGTACCCCCCCC